TCTTAGTCCTCAACGGCGGAAACGCATCTGCATTTTGATACTTAATCAAGGATAAATGTCCTCAATGATAAATGAACACAGCGTCTACTTACAATATTGTGAACTGTGTGCTCGTTTGTCAACCTTATTCTATATTATATAAAGAAATGACACCTTATCAAAATCTACTGCTCTTTTTAAAGTACCTATTTACTTTATTTAAAACTTGTCAGAAAACTACTGCTGCACACCTCGTGTTTCAGTTCCACTAGGTGAATATGATCACCACATGCTGAATTCTTTTACGCCAGCACTACTCAACAAATTACGTGTATATATAAAACATGATCTTTTATTAATAATATTAGATTAAATCTAGATCTAAAATTGCATACGTTGTAAAATCTGTTAACTAGGTTGGTGAGCTATTACCGGCTAATGTAGTCAACTAATGGCCCCGCGCACTAGGCAGCCTGGCTGCGGCAGCCAGTCGAACATATGACGGTGTATGGGAGCCCGCGCACCTAAGCAGCCACAAACTCCCGGCTGTTGCAGCCATAAAAACGCGCCTGATTGCACGGCAGTCCGTTGGCTGTGCGCAGCCAGAGCAAGTAGGCAAATGTACGTGGCTGCCGTCAGAAACCGCGCACTTATCGTAGCAGCCAAACGTCTTTTGTGTTCTGAAACCAAAAAATTGATACGGAGAAATTTGTTCGCGAAATTGAAAGCCGTAAATCAATATGGAATATTATCTTCAGAAGAATACAGTGGTCATGATGTAAAGATAAGAAGATGGGAAGAAATCACGAAAGTAATGTGCGAGGACAATTTAAAAATCCGGTCTGGGTATTTACGAACACCTTTAAAATAAGAATGGAATAAGCCCTTTGAGTGCCGTTTTAGAAAAAGAGGATCAAATGAGAATCAAATGTCTTTTAGTATTGCGTTTTTTTCGAGATACGCACAAATTTCCATAATTTTGCACGTCCATATTGCTCGAAGAAATGGTCATAACTTGTCGTCCAGTGGCTGTTTAAAAGCTGCTGCACAAACATTTTGGTCGCCGCAGCCAGGCTGCCTAGTGCGCGGGGATCTATACGTGCGTTCGGCGCAACCAAAGGTGTTAGGTAAGAGCCGTTGGCGGTCAAAGTCACTGATTTATTCATACGGTTTATTATAACTTGTAATGTATTTTGGTAAAATAACTTTAGGGATTCAGTAGCAGTCGACGTCAAAGCTACTCGGCAGCGCAAGCAATAAAATGGGAATTAATTTTATAGTTAAAAAAGGTACCATTCATGCTACAACCATAATATAGCTACAGGGCGGCTCTACCTCGTATTAATATATTTATTTATTTATACGTTGTAGAGGCACGACTTATTATCCCTCGTTACGTTTTATTATAATGTGGGGTTACATTAAATGCAAATAGATATTTTCGTTATATGCGTGAATAATACTTTCAAATAGTGTTGTTACATAAAATCAGTATCGGAAGCTGGCTGTGCTGAACGTCCGCCCAATAATTACTTACTTCACTATTACAAGCGGTTAAGCTAGAAGCAGAAGAGTTGAGAAAAGTTTGTGCTTAGTCAATTCTGCTATATCTTGACACCTGAGGTAATAGATGTCAAGTTCCACAAAATTTCATTTTGACCGAAGAGAGATCAAGCACAGGACCAACTTTTTTTACCCATTCTTGCAGTTAAATGGCAGTGCACTATTATGTTCCAGTATAATTACAGGTTGTGGTCCATAGACATCTACATCATTCCTCGATTACGAATCAAAATGCAGATGCATTGTCACCCGTGAGCACTAAGATGGAATGCCTCGTTTCCAGTAAAAAGGGTCTCCGGTTCTCTACACTCACCACACGAAACACAGCAGTATTAAGCTGTTTCACGCTAGTATTCTGTGAGGTACACATAGGCAGAATTAGCGAGAAACTAGTTCGTCTTCCTTCTGAAACACGTGCATTCTGTTCTATTGCCAAGGCTATCCAAGGGAATTTCTTACAGCCATCTCTTCCATCTATGCAAAGAAGAAAACCGGTCTGTTAGGCTCTATCCTTGCGTTCAACTCGACTCTCGATGAAGGGGGGAGCACACCGCTGACCATCCCGCGGTGTGAGTGCTCCATGCAGGATGTGCGGTTGATACAGCAATCGGTTCGCAAAGCACTCCTCTCTCTGGACATCTATTGAAGCTGTTACAACTTAATTTGCTCATTTCCGCGTAATAAAATACAATGATTTGTCCTGCTCAATTTGAAGAGCAGCCACCTCTCACCATACCTCAGTTGCGTGCACTTCCCCCTTCACCACCACCTGCAACACCACCACTCTCAGCACCATCACTCCCATCGTCAGCTCTTCCAGCACCACTACACTAGGAACGACACACCACCCTTGATAATACGACATATGTTTCGCCTCTACGTAAAGCATCCTCAGATGAAGTAGACTCTGCGGAGGCTGACACTATCTTCATTACCACTAATCCCATCACCACCACTCCTAGCACTCTCTCCGCTCTCCACACTTTGTTGTGCAAACAACTCGTTGCAACAACAACAATTAATACAACTCGTTGATCAGCGAGTTGTATTAATAGCAACTGTTTCGGCTCGCCGCTCACTTAGCCTTCAGCCTCCACAGAGACCACTTCACCAGTGGATGCCTCGTATCGTATCGTATTATCGAGAGTGTTGTGCTGTTCCTAGTGTGGCGGTGTTGGGTGTGGTCATTCTAAGAGAAATGGCTGCGGGGATAGTGCATGCAATTTATTTTATTACGCGAATATGAGCAATTTAAATTATAATAACTTCAACCACATGGATTGAAAAATGCCCGAGAATATTTCGTCAAATTCTGGTTTGAACATATTTAATTTTTTTGCCATGTTCGCACCATTATTTTACTGTGTTTGACTTAGACTTGAATGATTGACTTCGACAATCATTTAAGTCTAAGTAAAACACATTTACAATTACATCAAGAAAAAGGCCAGTAAGTACTTTTTCCGAAAAGTCACCTAATGGCTTGTAAGCAACGCAATACTTTTGCTTTGACTTCCTAATTATCGTCAACAAAACGTAACGATAGTGATGAGACTAAGTGAATTGGTGACCGGTGACTGGTGGTAATAATAATAAGCCTTTTGTCCGGTGTGAATAAGACACACGCATATAACGGTTGGGTCATGCCTGTCCTCATGTATACCTTTGGCATACTCAGGTGGACCCAGACTGAACTTAACGCCCTGGATAAAAGAGTCCGCACTACCATGACGTCCCATAGGATGCATCATCCGAGATCGTCGGTAATGAGGCTGTACTTGCCGCAAAAACATGGTGGGCGTGGTTTCCTGAGCGAGCTCACCGTGCATAATCACGAAGTGTGCAGCCTCCGTGATTACTTCCTGGCGAGATCGGATGATCCATTCTATAATGACGTCATTTCTAGTGATAAAGGGCTTACCCCTCTATCCTTAGCCAACGAGCAATGGCAGGACCCAGCAGTGCTTAGCATTACCGACCGGGAGACCGTATGGAAGGAGAAGGAGCTCCACGGGAGGTTCTACAAGGCTCTACATGAGCCTTTCAGTACACAGTACACAGTAGCCTCCCTCCACTGGCTACGCTTTGGTGATCTCTTCGGGGAAACCGAGGGTTTTGTCTGTGCAATACAGGATCAGGTTATTAAGACCAAAAACTATCGGAGATACATCCTAAAGGATGGCACCGTGGACATCTGTCGAGCTTGTCGCCATCCCGGTGAGTCACTTAGGCATGTCATCTCCGGTTGTTCGACGCTTTCTAACTCTGAGTACTTGCACAGGCACAACCTAGTAGCCAGAATTCTTCACCAGGAGCTCGCTCTGAAATATGGTATTGTGGACCGGAAATTGCCGTATTACAAGTACTTGCCGGAAGCCGTGCTCGAAAATGACCGCGGCAGGCTCTACTGGGACCGGGCCATCATCACAGACAGGACTATTCTTGCGAATAAGCCTGATATTGTGCTGATGGACCGGGCACAGTCAAGGATATTTTTGGTCGACATTACCATTCCGTATGACGAGAACCTCGTGAAAGCCGAAACAGACAAGCATACAAAATGTCTGGACCTTGTTCACGAGGTGACCGACATGTGGGGTGGTCTGCCAACCGAAATTATTCCTGTAGTCGTCTCTGCAAACGGGCTAATCTAGTCAGCCTCTCGGGTCATCTGAGGCGACTGGGACTACGTGGCGGACCGCTCCGGGCTCAAATGCAGAAGGCGGTGCTCCTCGATAACCTCGACCGTTTGGTCTCCCCTGGCGAGGGCCTCCATCTGGTTGGGCTTTTATTTATTTATGTATTTTTATATTTATTTTATGTTATTGATATTTATGTATATTTATCTTTTCATTCTCATTTATAATTATATATTTATAGAACCCAACCAGATTAGAAAACTATATAGATACCCCACAATAATAATAAGGCGTAGGGAAGTCACCATCCCATCGCCCGCTGACGAAACAGTTATGTGACAAAACTACTACGTCGGCACAGTCAGTCAGCGCCCTGCCAAGAGGTGTGAGCGCCGTGCCTAGGCAAAATTGTGGGTACAAAGGTCCGTTTGTGCATATGACCAAACCACGAAACGGTGCCGGTCTTGGGCGTCTCCCGTTATTTGGCGCCCATAAATGGATGATGGTACAAAGAGGAACGCGCATAGAGCCGCTACCTGGGGGTCGCCGGGGCGCGTCTGGAGCTGGCGCTGGACGCGGCAGCATGCGGGCCGCCAGCCGAGCGCGAGGAGCTGTACGATCACCTAGCAGCCCTTCGCATCCATCATCCTCACCAGAAGGCTTGGTGTCGGCTGGGTCTTCTCGGACTCAGCAAGCGGCACCCGCCGGTGGTGGAGCACGTCGCATGCCTTGGTCACAAACAATGAACTCAAACGCACTGCGGGCGTACTTTAGGGCAAAAGGGGAAGAAACCGGATTTTGTTGGCATATCGGGCTCGGATGCATCGCTTTTTTGTAGAGCTGGAACCATCTCTATCCGTCACTGAGCAAAACCTGGCAGACCGAGTTCGGTACATCCTGCGCTCCAACATATTTGGTGACGCCGAACTCGAACGACTACGACGTGAGGCTGTTCCCTCATCGGATGGAAATGCTACGGCTGGGAATGCGGCGCCACTAATTGCGCAGCAAACTGCAAATGTGGACGCTGCCGTCAATATTCCATTTGTGGTTGATTCAGACGATGATGGAATAGTCCCCCACGAACTAGAGAAAATGAGGAGCATATTGGAAGAGTCGATGCTGGAAACGCGCAGCATGCCTCTCGAAAATCGACCGCGACTTCCCCGCATACCCCTTAGCAAGCGAAATCGGGCTGTCGTGCGGGCTCTTAACCCAATGCTGGTGACCTACTTGGAAGCCAGCCGGGACCTTTGCGAGACGGACTCAATTCTCTTTGGCGCTGCACTGGCAGTATGTATTATTGGCGTCAAACTTCCCATGGCTGGACGTCCTACTCAACAAGGTAGTGCCATCCCAGCCTGGAGAAAAAGAATCGAGGACTGTATCGCAAAGGCAAGGGCCATTATCGGCAGACTGACAAGCTTCAGGTCGGGTAATAATAGACCGAGAGTTGTGCGCACCGTTAGAATGGCGTTTGCTGGGACAAATATTAGTTTGTCCCAGCCTGATATCACGCAGAAACTCACGGAGCGCATAGATGACCTGAAGCAATAAATAGCTGCTTGGGGGAAGCGGATTCGACGATTTAGCGAGAGATCAAGGCGGTTCAACCAGAATCGTCTCTTCCAGAGTGATCAGAAGAGGCTCTATAAATCATTGGAGAGACCAGAGGTATGTGGACCGGGCCCAGGACCGAATCAGGCTGACACTGACGCATTTTGGCGTGGCCTGTGATCAGAGCCCGTAAACCACAGCGAGGGCCCTTGGATGGAAGTTGTGGCGAGCCAGAGTGCAAGTGTTACGCCTATGGACCCCGTCACCATAACGCCTGAAGACGTGGCTGAGGCGGTCCGTAGGGCCCCAAACTGGAAAATTCCGGGGCTCGACGGGCTGCATCATTACTGGCTGAAGGGCTTCGTAGTGTGTCACGCTGTGCTCGCCCGACAGTATCAAGAGGCTCTCGATCGGAAGTCGCTCCCGAGCCTCTTCGCTACTGGGATCACTCACTTGGTTCCTAAAGATCAGGATACCACAGACCCGAGCAAATACCACTCCATCACGTGTCTACCCACTATATATAAGACACTGACATCCATTTTGAGCGCGAGAATCACTCGTCACCTGGAGCTAAATCAGGTGATGTCACGCGCTCAAAATGGATATCGGGGCGGTGGTAATGGAACCAAGGAACCACTCCTCATTGACGCGGTCATTGGCAAAGTGGTGAAACGCAACCGTCGGAACTTCTCCGCCGCCTAGATAGACTACAGAAAAGCATTCGACTAGGTGCCCCATACATGGCTAAAGAGGGTCCTCGAGCTGTACAAGATAGACTGTACTGTGAGAGACTTCCTCGAGCAGTGTATGGGGTAGTGGAGTACGATCCTCTGTTATCTGGGCGAGCGGATGATGGCTGCTGAGAACCACATAAGGATAAGAAGGGGTATCTTCCAGGGCGATTGTCTGAGTCCAATCTGGTTCTGCCTCTCTCTGAACCCTCTCAGTACCTTACAGAAGGGCTCCGGGAGAGGATTTCAGCTACAGAAGGGAGGAACAAAAGTGACCACCTTTTCTATGTGGATGACCTCAAGTTATTCGCCTCCAGTCGCTCCCATCTTATGGAATTGCTAAACATCACTTGTGAATTTAGCAATTCTATTGGAATGTAGCTGGGGACGGATAAGTGTGCGGTCCTTCATGTTGAAAGGGGAAGGGTTGCTAACTCTGACCGCAAAGATATATCTATGCCCGTCAACTTAAAGAACCTTTCCGAGGCTGAAACATACCGATACCTGGGTATGTCACAGAACATCGGTATCGATGAGGCTGGTATGAAACAGTCAGTTTGCGACGTGTTTGATGCACGCTTGACCAAAGTGCTTAACAGCCTTTTATCCGGTGTGAATAAGACACACGCATATAACGGTTGGGTCATGCCTGTCCTCATATATACCTTTGGCATACTCAGGTGGACTCAGACCAAACTTAACGCCCTGGATAGAAAAGTCCGCACTACCATGACGTCCCATAGGATGCATCGTCCAAGATCGTCGGTAATGAGGCTGTACTTGCCGCGAAAGCATGGTGGGCGTGGTTTTCTGAGCGCGCTCACCATGCATGCGCTCACCATGCATAATCGCGAAGTGTGCAGCCTCCGTGATTACTTCGTGGCGAGATCGGATGATCCATTCTATAATGACGTCATTTCTAGTGATAAAGAGCTTACCCCTCTATCCTTAGCCAACGAGTAATGGCAGGCCCCAGCAGTGCTTAGCATTTCCGACCGGGAGACCGTACGGAAGGAGAAGGAGCTCCACGGGAGGTACTACAGGACTCATCATGAGCCCTTCGTTGATACAGTCGCCTCCCTCAACTGGCTACGTTTCAGTGACCTCTTCGGGGAAACCGAGGGTTTTGTCTGTGCAATACAGGATCAGGTTATTAAGACCAACAACTATTGGAGATACATCCTAAAGGATGGCACCGTCGACGTCTGTCGAGCTTGTCGCCATACCGGTGAGTCACTTAGGCATGTCATCTCCGGTTGTTCGGCGCTTTTTTACTCTGAGTACTTGCACAGGCACAATCTAGTAGCCAGAATTCTACACCAGGAGCTCGCTCTGAAATACGTTCTCGTGGACCGGAAATTGCTGTATTACAAGTACTTGCCGGAAGCCGTGCTCGAAAATGACCGCGCCAGTCTCTACTGGGACCGGGCCATCATCACAGACAGGACTATTCTTGCGAATAAGCCTGATATTGTGCTGATGGACCGGGCACAGTCAAGGATATTTTTGGTCGATATTACCATCCCGTATGACGAGAACCTCGTGAAAGCCGAAACAGATAAGCAATCAAAATATCTGGACCTGGCTCACGAGGTGACAGACATGTGGGGTGGTCTGCCGACCGAAATTATTCCTGTAGTCGTCTCTGCGAATGGGCTAATCCCTGTTAGCCTCTCTGGTCATCTGAGGCGACTGGGACTCCGTGACGGACCGCTACGGGCTCAAATGCAGAAGGCGGTGCTCCTTGATACTGCCCGCATCGTCCGCCGGTTTCTTTCCCTTTCCCCCTAACCCTTGGCCGTTTGGTCTCCCCTGTCGAGGGCTTCCATCTGGTTGTGCTTTTATTTATTTATGTATTTTTGTATTTATATTATTTTATTGATATTTATGTATATTTATCTTTTCATTTTCATTTATAATTGTATATTTATACATCCCAACCAGATGAGAAAACTATATAGATATCCCACATAATAATAATAATCTTTATTTGCAAGAATATGGTTGTACAATGGTGTTTGAGTATAATTCGTTCTACATATTCTACCTTAGGGATGTGCAAATATTAATGGTCAAGTAGCCTAAACAACAATACTTATCAAATTTAACAACATATATTAATTTAACAGAATATAAAATTATTTAATATTATTTACTTGATTTGATAATTAATTTATTATGCCACAGTATTAGAAAAAATATAAGTAAGTATTATTGTATCAAGTAAGATTATTATTATAGGTCAATGTCGTATATTAATTATTATTCTTACGTCAATAATGTTATATATCCAATTGTCATTAATTTCTTTCTATTTTTCCATCAAATTTATTAATTAATTAAATACATAAGTCAAATTTTATATAAAATAATATCAAAAACATTATTTTTTTAAACATTAGAATCTTGTAATTACGAAATTAATCATATTCTAAAATTATCATTAATTATTACTCGTATGTAGGTCGTTGTCGTTTAAGAAGTCTTATACAGAATAATAACATTTAGGGAGCAACAATGCCAAAACAGATTTCTTAAATGACAATTAAATTTTTCGCTTTAAATTATCAGGTAATTTATTATAAATTCTAATCGACATTGCAGAAGCGTTTCTTTTAGACGATTTGCTGGTGCATATAACCTATTCTTGTATCTACCCTTACTTTCACTCACATCACACTTACGTTGAAATAAATGTTGATGCTTATGAACAAACATGCACATTTCAAATATGTATAATGAAAGCAAAGGCAGGATCTTTTTAGTTTTGAACAAAGGTTTGCAACTTACTAAAGGACCAACACCACAAAGAGCTCTTATGCAGCGTTTTTGTGCCTTAAATACTTTATCCGAATCTACCGAATACCCCCAGAGTAGAACACTATATCGTAGTATGGATAAGATATATCCATGATATGCCATCAGTGCAGCTCTTTCTGGTACAATATTTCTTAGTCTATACAACGCAAAAACGAAACGATCTATTTTAGTACATAGGCTTTCTATATGAGGCTTCCAACTACAAAAATTATCAAATATTATTCCTAGAAATGTCCTGGAAACGACTTCATCAATTATCGAGTTGTTATATGTGAGTTTAATGTCATTTGAAATGATTTTGAGGGTTTTATATTCAATACGTTTTATTTATCTAAGTTATTTATATTCATCCACTGTATGACCTCATTTAGAGCACCATTAGCTGCGATTTCAAGTGCAGATCTGTTATTACCTTTAACTATAAGAGTAGTGTCATCAGAGAATCAAATGCATTTGCTTGTAGTAAAGTCAGGGTGATCGTTAATGTGTATCAAGAACAACAAAGGTCCCAGTACACTGCCTTGTGGAACACCGAAACTGTTTGTAAGATATTGAGAGCGCTTTGATAGCTTTGTGTTCTTTATGACTTTTGTAACTTCTATACACTGCTTACGATTTTTAAGATAACTCTCAATCCAGTTTTGGGCTGTTCCTCTTATTCCATATCTTTCTAATTTATCTAGTAGAAGACTGTGTGATACGAAGTCAAAAGCTTTGCTCATATCAAGAAATATAGTTAAAAGTGGAGTTTGTGAATTTAAGCTTTCAGTTATAATTTTCATCAGTTCATAACATGCTAATGTTGTGGAACAGTTTCTTCGAAAACCGAATTGTTCTGGTTTTAGAATTTTAAAGGCGCTAAGAAAACAATATAGTTTTTCATGCATTATTTTTTTCGAAAACTTTTCGAGCAAAGGAATAAGAGTTATTGGTCGGTAGTTTCCAACGTTGCGTATCTCCCTTTTTATACATAGGTTTAACAAAGGAGAATTTCATACGCGTTGGAAATATACCCTGTTTTAGAGACAGATTTATAATATAACATAATGGTTCTGAGATGTATTCAGCGCATTGTTTTAAAACTTTTACATTTAATTCGTCATAACCTGTTGAATTTGTATTATGTAGAGATTTATGTGTTTTATAGATGTCTCTAGGATGAGTTGGCGTGAGATATATACTACTGTTATTAAACAAAATATTTTTATAGTTTAAATATTTATCGGTATTATGTTTATTTGTAAGGTTAATAAAGTATTTGTTGAATGTTTCAGTAATTTCCTCTGGTTTCATTAGCAGGTTGTTATTTTCTCTAATTTTTTCAATATGACCAACATCTTTCTTGTTAGTGCTTTGTTTTTATTTAGGTCTCAAGTTGCCTTACATCTGTTTTTAGACCGATAAATATACTTAATGTTAAAATTTTCTTGCGCTTCCGAAATACATCCCTTTAGTATTTTACTTTATTTTATGTATTCACGTCTTTTATTTTTCTTGTTGTGAGTGGATAGTCTATATTTAAGATAGAGACATCTTTTTACTATGCAGCATCTTTTGAGTCCTTTAGTTATCCACTTATTTTTTGTATTACCGCTATGGGACCTATAGAGGCACCCGTAGACGCGGGGATGGTCGTCGCTGTCTACGCGCAGCCTTAAGATGGACAGGTCCGTACCTTCAAGGCTGACAAGGCGTCGATAACACATGTATTCTCAGACGTACACGCAAACTCCAGCCCAGGACACAACGGAGTGTTCTAATTTGTACGCCGGGTAGGAGAGATACGAAGTATCAGCCGCAGAGGACTCCCGTGTATCGGCTAAAAAGCAAGCAAGTCCGGCTTCGCCGTTTCCATATGGTAGAGGAAGGCGTTAATGTTTGAATGAAGTCCCTTATTGTTGCAGAAATTCACGGATAGCGTGGCAGAAGGCGCCTTTGACTTATTATCAAGTTAATAATCAAGTTTTCTCTTTATTTTATTTTCTTTATTATTTAACTTAACATGGTTGTGTATTATACGCTCATTTGGAGAAACATCGACGTAAATGTAATTTTTTCCAAAAATTAGATAAATATGACAAATCACTTAGAAAGTGTATTTACGTTAGGAGAAACAAAGACGTAAATCAACTTCAGTCTATTTATCGGTAGGTAGCGCTAGCGTCGTTGTTGCATTTATGCTAACTCGCAAAGATTTCGCGGAAACAGCGACGGATCGGTCAGTCGCGCGGGGAGCTCCGCGAAGTGTATTTGTGTTTGGGTGCTACATCGACGTAACGGTAATTATGACATTATTTTTGGGGCTACAACGACGGAATGAACATTTTCAACATTGTTGTCCCAAAATATATTTGTTTTTGCAGAAGCATTGACATAATTTTTGTAATTTCCTATTAGTAATGTCGTTGTTGGTAGAAAAATATTATTATTTGGTTCAAATACGCTTAAACATTGCTTTGTGAAATTATTTAAATATATATACATTTTAAAAAGAGCAAGCCAGCTTATTTTCACGATACCTGGCCAAGTATTTTTGTTGTGTTGTATTACATGAAATGTTCGTATAATTCTTTTTTTGTCTGCGTGAAGTCGCAGTAAACTTCCTAAATTCCACGTGGGATTATTTTAGTCTTTGAAGTTAGATTTACTTTTTAAAATTTCTTTTATGTTGTATCATCTATAGTTAATGCATTTCACGAGCGCGCGTCAATATTTGTAATCTAGTGAATGTAGTCACATGACGCGCGCTGGTGATTTATAATTTTGTTTTGATTTCCTATTCGTTTATTTTTAGGTTATTTACAATAATGGACGTGGTAGAAAGTTGGTCAATTTAGTAATGGATAGACACGAACCATCATCTATTGACACAATGACGTATTTAAATAATGTCAATATTGTTGGTGTTGCTGATCAGAGTTGGAATGGTACGTGTAAAATAGGCAGACAACTAGACTGTTTTTTATTTTGGTTTTGTTTTGCCATAATTTATTAAATTTCTTTTAGCCAATAGAAATGAACAAGTTGAGAGTATTTATTCTGACTTGCCAAGTTTGCGAAACTCTCCGTATCACAATGAAGATATTTCAAGCATTTTTAATAACGTCGTAGAGTATGACACAAGTAAACACGAATCAGAAACCTTCGAATTCCAACCTGTTCGTGATCTTAAGAAATCTACATCAACTTTATTCTCATCTAGCTCTGATTCTGAAGACTCGACTGCAAGTAAGTCGATTTTGACACAAGGGAACGTTTCCACATTAGAACAAGACAACTATGTCGTTTCTCTTGTGTCTGAATTCCAGCTCCATTTACCAGCCAATAATAACTCGCAACCAGAAATATCTGAATTAGTTTTACCAAAATCCATCGAAAATAGTGCAAATGTAGATGGCAAATATTTAAAATCAGACTGTGAAGATTTTTCACCAGATGACAGTGGTGATGAATATCGGCCAGCAAAACGCACTCGCAAAATGTCTTCATCTAGTTCAATCAGTTCCTCTTCATCGTCATCAAGCTCATCATCAAGCAAGTCCACTTCTTTTCACTCTACTACACGCAGCTCCAACTTAATGCAATCTGGCGAGACTCTCGAGGTTATATCACAGCAAAATAATCATTCCAGTAACAGTGTGATGCCAAATGATGGATCACCCCAAAATACAGATAATATTGTTCAATCTCCTAATAAAATAAAAAGAAAAGGGTGAGGAATGAGGCTCAGTGAAAGAAAAATAAAATAAAACAATTAAAGAATTTGGGTAAACAATATACATCTCGCACTGTTAAAACTGTTCCCGCCAAAGCAATGAAGCTGCCTTGTTCAGACAAGTGTCGATATTTGTGATCGAACAAATTTTCAGAAGAGCAGAGGCGTGAAATATTTAATATGTATTGGGCTTTATCATCATTTCAGAGACAACGTGATTTTCTTAATTCTGTAGTTATGGTATTCCTACCAGCCGTGCGTCGTGTCAGAACAACGATAAAGAATAGAAAACCTAACACATACTTCCCTAGTCAACAATGGGCAAAATGTAAGAGTTTGCAAAACTTTCTTACTAAACACATTGGGAATTGCAGATAGAACTTTACGCACTGTGATCGAGGCTAAAACAAGTGAAGGCTTTCTAGGTAGTGCACCAATGGATAGTCGTGGCAAGCATGATCATCATATTAAAACTGATCCAGAAGTCTTGGACTCCGTTAGAGTTCATATAAACTCCATAGCTAGGATTGACAGTCATTATCTCCTTGCAAACACGAGTCGAGAATACATTGATGGTGGTCTCACACTAGCTGATTTACATCGTGACTACAAAAACATGAGAGAATCCGATAACAAAACTGCTGCAAACTACGATTTATACTGCTGAACATTTACTGAAGAGTTTAACATTTCTTTTTTCATCCCCAAGAAAGATCAGTGCGATCTATGTGTATCTCGTAAAAATGCAGTTGACGGTGATGAAGTATTAGAAAATCAATATTTGGAACATCTGCGCCAAATAGAACTCAGTCGAGCTGAAAAAAGAATGACATTGAGATTTGTAAAATGGCGGAAAGCAATAGCATTGTAGCTATATTTGATTTACAAGCTGTGATGCCTGCACCGATTGGAGAATCATCAGCTTTCTTTTATAAGTCTAAATTAAATTGTCTGAATTTAACTGTAAGTTACTTTTGACTTTTTTATTTCATAAACTACAATTTTATTTCTTAATACAATAAATTTCGATTAATTTTTTAGATCACTGATATAAAAAACAAGGAGACGATTTGTTACTTCTGGCATGAGGCTTTAGGAGGTCGGGATGCAGTTGAGATCGGTTCCTGTGTCTACAAATTCCTGCAAAAAGTATCTGATAAATATCCTAATTCCGACGTTACGTTTTATAGCGACAATTGCTGTGGACAGCAGAAGAACAGGTGAGTTGGATAAATGAATTGACTATTTTCAATAATTCTACATTCTTAATCTACCTAAATTATGAATATTAATGTAAGTACTACATTTTATTTTAACGTTTCCAGATTCATTTTCTCAATGTATCTGTATGCCGTCAAAACATTACGAATCAAAACCATCACTCATAAATTTTTGATCCGCGGGCATACCCAAAATGAAGGAGACACAGCGCACTCGTTAATAGAAAAAGCTATTAAAAAATCTAAAAAGTCTGGGCCCATATACGTGCCAGAGCAGTACGTTCAAATCATAAGGTCTGCAAAAAAAATGGCAATCCATTTATTGTAGAAGAGTTAAACTATGACGATTTCTATGATCTCAAAAAATTTGCGGAAGAAATTGGACTAAATACCGCAAAAGACGTACATGGAAACACCATTAAAACGAATGATATAAAAATGATTAAATTTTAAAAGGAAAATGAAACATATAAATTTAAAACTGGATACGAGGAAGACTGGACAGAAGCCTTTACAAAAATCTCCAGACGAAATAAGGGATAAGAAAAGTGACTTACAAGAACTAATGCAAAAAAATATCATACCAAGGTTTTATTGCAGTTTTTACGACAATGTTTTAAACATTTAAATGGTATCTACTTGTTCAAATTAAGCTAGGTACGTTAAATTTAATATTTTGTAAAAGTAGGCCTAACGAAGCTGTGATTGTCGTGCCTTTTGATTCTTTAAGTGAAAACTATCTATTATATAAGTTTAAGTTCCTCAAATATTACAAATTTTATTCGAAATAAATGGATAATAGTTTGATTACTTTCAAAATATGGTTTCATTTTGTCATAAAATCATAAAAAAATGTATACGCGGCACTCTGCACATTATACTGAATCTTTGGGAAAACAAAGACGGAATTGTAGGTATCCGTCATATTTTTATTTATTTATTAGAATACCAACATAAATATTCAGCTTTATTGAAAACTACATAAAATTATATTAGTATAGCCACATTTTAAATATAAAAAAATAGGCAAGAGTCATCATCAGGAGACGGTAACACATTACAAAATAAATAAAAACACTTTAAATCACTCTCCTGTATAATTGGAAAAATAGCAATACGTCGATGTTTCTCCAAATGAGCGATATAGCGAAATAAAATACACAACAAATATTCATATATCAGTCGAGAACGACGACTCATCTAGGGTGTGGAAGTTTCTTAAAACAGTTGGAGTTGGAAGAACATCCCTAAATGCTTCGCCTCCTAGTGTTCTGCCCTGATACGGAAGAAGGCGGCTAAGCCACAAAAGTATGTTTCGAGAAAAATTGAAAAAAAGCGCGAAGTTGGTTTTCTTGATAGATATCACCGAAAAAAATATTTTGACTATTGGAATCCACGTAAAAAAATACGAATCCTTTATAAATATGTTTGAATGAAATTATTGGCATACTCTTCTTTAAACTCTAAAAATGTAGCTAACGTAAGTATTGAAACATTGTATTTGAATATTAATTACAACATAAAAGGCCGTTAAGTATACCTTAACTGTTTTTTAGTATAGCATTGACAATAATCATACGCAAAAATGTGGCTAACCTACTTTAACTTTCTTTTAATTTTTGACGCTTTGTTTAAATTATACACTAGGACTACACTTTATTGCTGTTAAGTGATATAACTGCCTTATAGTATAGTTTATCAGAAAATAATCAAATTAAGTAGAAGTGCAACTAAACTAAAAGGTAGTTAAATGTACATTAATCTCACGGAATCACTTTTTTTGATTAGTATTAGCATAGGTATATTTTTGTTATGTAAGTTTGAAAAGTTGCTAAGTGTAAAATAAAATGTGCTTTAGTAAGAATATCAAAACTTTATTCATGCTTAGCACAAACAATTATAAGGAAAAACAAGGGATTGTTTTTTTTATTCTTAAAGAACCTGTTTTTTATTTTTGAATGTGATTTCTGCTCTACTAAACCGTTTTCAATTATAATTCTAGATCTTCTGCTAAATCCGATCTGACGAATCTGATTTATTTACTGATTTTTTTAACATGGATATTTGTAGGTAGCACGAAGTATGATACCGACTGATTATCGTCTTCTTCGGAATCAGAACTGTTTTGCGACATCTCCACTGACGGTATATAGTCCATTCTTTTACAGAATCATCAGAGTCAAAATCTTCACTTTATTCTTAATAATGGCGCTCTTCTACTGATACTGGAAGACGTGCTGTAGGTGGCAAGGAGTAACTAATTTTACAGACTCACTTATAGATAGACATAGACATCTTTGAATTTGGAGCTATTCAGCGGCATGTTTACTGAATTCAAAGCTTCACCGGAGTTAAAATCTTTATCGGTTAATTCAATTTAACGATGCTCTTTGACATATTTGGAGTTATTCTGGGACATGTTCATCAGTGGCACACAGTTTTTATCTATTAGCGATCAATTCTTAAAAAAAATAAAATGAATTTATTTCAGACTTTTGGTCCATAAAATTGTTAGTACAAAATATGAGTTTACAAATTATCTTTGTAAAACAGAATAAAAACAACACTAAAACATTAATTTAAATATTTTACGGTCTAGTTTGTGGCACTTGGTACATACGCATGAGTGTACATCCAGTGTCTCCATGTATGTATACCCAGTGTCCTTGACTGGACAGTCTGATTTACCACTAATAACCTTCAGAATAGTATCGAAGCTCCCTCGCACTCTGCACATAAGAGACGTGATACGTTGGCGTAGTACTACATCCCTGATGCACTGCAAAATCACAGCAGTCCCGACATCACTCGAAAGGCTATATTGAACTATACAATTAAATATAACATAACCATTACAATTACATACATCGCTTATAGATGGTACCATTTCTTCATAACAAAAAATATACCAAGTGTTTTATTCCTTTTCAGTTAGGTGAATTCATTGTGTATCTTTATTTTGGTGTTGTGAGATATCAAGTTTGAATATCCCGCTTAACTTTTGGAGTTGATAAAATTTTGTAAATTGATTCAGAATTACTTATGAGATTCATGGAGTATGATCAAGACCAAAGTAAATCAATTATTAAAGAACAGAAAGCCAGTCGTGTCCAATGTGCCCACTGATTAAATGTAATTTACAGTCTTCTGCTGTCGCTTCTCTCGCCACACTCACTAACTTTCTGCCTTTGTTAAATCAAGGTATTATTCAAGGTGTAAAATAAAAATATATATAAATACTCAAGTAGTGTAAGAAGGGAGAAGTAAGCTCCCTTACGTTCGGAAACGATTTAGTATTAAATTAGGAAAAAAAATTAATTTATGAATTTGGTGTAATGGTAATCCAAATCCATGTATGCACAATGAAAACTATTGTCAGAACTCAAAATTGAATTGAACACTCCTTGGCCATAGCGTACTTTAAAATTATTTTGTTATGAATATAACTCTCTTTTTACGTATTAGAGAGGAGGAGATTTGAATAAAATGTGCTATTATTGATTACTTTTTAAGTAAAGTTTTTTAAGTGGCAATTTCATTGGAGATGCCAGTTACAAAAAATATTCATATAAGTTCATGAACTTAAATTTAAAATGAGTGGAAAATATAATTGTAAAAATAATTATATAATGATTTCTCATATTTACGCGAACATTACACATGTAAATAAAACTAGTTTTTACGAATTTTATCACGTATATTAATTTTTTTATATTCCCGACGTTTCGAGCACTACAGCACCCATGGTCACGGGGGGGACTAAGATGTCCGTCGTCCCGATGTTATAGTTAACCACCAGATTAAAATCATTAATTTTTGTTTCGATCTACACAGTATGAACTTATAATATCTTGAAGTCTTGCAGTTGTATGCTTGGATTGGGATTTAATTTCATTAATTATAGGATCCCAAGCAGATGATAATGCCCATATTTTATAAGATAGGACAAGCGATCGATTAAACCCCGATTAAACATATAGTTGATGTGAAGAATCGACGCTCCGGGCAGTCTGCAGTCTGTGAACACGTACAGGGTCGCCCAGTCACTACTTAGTCACAAATTCTCGCCAAGGCACACAGATTTCTTCCAAGGATGATTCGCGAGGCTATTGAAATCAAAAAACATCCTAATTTCAATAGAGAAGATGGATTGCGCTACCATCTGCTTGGGATCCTATAATTAATAAAAATAAATCTCAACCCAAGCATACAACTGCAAGACTTCAAGATACTATAAGTTCATACTGTGTAGATCGGAACAAAAATTAATAATTTTATTGTGTGAATAACCCCGGGTAACTATTACATCGGGACGCCGAAGACCTCAGCAATTCTTCATGTGTACACATCGATTGCTAAACTTACACTTAGACGCTTTTTAGAGTAGCACATTCACTTTGCCGCTGTTTAAATATTGTTCCAAATATAATTCAAAGGTTCATCACAC